ATGATGATGCTGATGATGATGCTGATGATGATGATGATGATGATTATGATGATGATGATGATGGGGCTGGAGAATGAGAGGAGGAGGGAGGCGGAGGAGGAGGAGGCGGAGGAGGGAGATGAGGAGGAGGGAGGAGGCGGGGGGGAGGATGGAGGGGGGCGGAGGCGGAGGCGGAGGAGGAAGGAGCAGAGGAGGAGAGGAGGAGGGAGGAGCCAGAGGAGGACAGGAGGGGAGGAGGAGGACGGAGAAGGAGGAGGAGGAGGAGGAGGAGGGAGAGGAGGAGGAGGAGGAGGAGGAGGAGGAGGAGGAGAGACGGAGGAGAGGGGAGGGGGTCGGACGCATGGGAGTCTAGAGAGGAGAGCAAGATAATGAGGAGATGAGAGGAGGAGGATGAGGGAGGCGTAGGAGGAGGAGAAGGAGGAGGAGGAGGAGATGGGATTCGGATGGAGGAGATTAGGAGGATTAGGAGGAGCAGGCTGATGATTTGATGATGATTAGATGAGGATTAGAGGAGGAGGAGGAGGAGGAGGCGGAGAGGATAGGAGGAGGAGGCGTAGGAGGAGGAGGAGGAGGAGAGGAGGAGGAGAGGAGGAGCACGAGGTGGAGGAGTGAGGAGGAGTAGGAGGAGGAGAGGGGAGGAGGAGAGGCGCTTAAAAATAATCTATAGAAGACGAGGGAGGGAGGAGGAAGAGCGGAGAGTGAGGAGAAGGAGGAGCGGAGGAGGAGGAGGAGAAGAGAGGCGGAGGAGGAGGCGGAGGAGGAGGAGGAGGGATCGTCAGAGGGCGCGGCGGCGCAACCGACCGGGCGCGCGCCTGGGTTCCCCACCTGCTGCCCCCCAAGCAGCAAGCCCGGCCGCTCTCCCCAGAACCGGCGGCGGAAGCTCCGGGCGGGCGGCAGGTCCGCGACCCAGGTGTTCCGCGACACCCTCTGGAAGGCCTCCGGCGGCGAGCCTTGGGGATAGGGGGCTGTGCGCTGCCAGGGAGGAGAGGGGCACTCAAGGGAGTCGGGCCCTGAGGTTTTCGTCGCCGCTCTGGGGCCTCCCAGGGGTCCTCCACGGGCCCCGGGGACTGTCAGAGAGCGGCTCTTTTTCGGGGGGTGGAGGGGGAGCCGATAGGAGAGGAGGAGGAGGGAGGAGGAGGAGGAGGAGGAGGAGGAGAGGAGGAGGAGGAGGAGGAGGAGGAGGAGGAGGACGAGGGCGAGGACGAGGACGAAAGACGAGGACGACGACGACGAGGAGGGGAAGGAGGAGGAGTCGGGGGCGGAAAAGAGGGGGTGATGACTAGGGGGGGTGGATAATCATGGCGGGGGCCATGATATATCCCCAGATTTTATGGCGCCTCTTCTTATTCATTACGTCCCTGGCCCCCCCGCTGGGCCGCGCACATGCCGCCGGTCATGATTTGCACCCCCCCTCTTGGACACCCCCCTCTTGGCCGCTCCCGAAGGAGGAGCAGGAGGAGGAGGAGGAGGAGGATGAGGAGGAGGAGGAGGAGGAGGAGAGGAGGGGAGGAGAAAGAGATGCAGAGCCTGTCTTTTCGGGGGGAGGGCCCTGGGGTCCAGGAGCCGCTGCCCGCAGGACCCGTTTCCTGCATGCTCATGTGTTGTCGGGAACGTTTGCTTAGCGTGCCGCGCCGCCGGTTGTGGCCACCGTGAGGGTTTCTCCGAAGGGCTTAGGCGACCCGTCCTCCTACTCCTACTCCTACTCCTCCTCCTCCTCCTCCCGCCTCTTTCTCCTCCTCCTCCTCCTCCTCATCCTCCTCCTCCTCCTCCTCATCTCCTCCTCCTCCTCCTCCTCCTCCATCTCCTTCTCCCACCTCCCTCTCCTCCACCTCCTCCTCCTCCACCTCCTCCTCCTCCTCCTCCTCCTCCTCCTCCTCCTCGGGTCGCCTACGGCCCCGGGGGAAACCGTGCAGGTCCGCCGCGCTTCGGCGCGACACGCTGGCCACGTCCCAATCCCCAGGCGTCAACGGCTCGAGCTCTTCTCAGCCTCCCGCCCCGCGGAGAGGAGACATAGCGCGTCGCTGGGCACGCCGTTAAGCAGAAGTTCCTCCTCCTCCTCCTCCTCCTCCTCCTCCTGTCCTCTCCTCCTCATCCTCCTCCTCCTCTCCTCTTCCTCTTCTTCCTCCTCCTCCTCCTCTCCTCTTCCTCTTCTTCTTCCTCCTCCTCCTCCTTCTCCTCCTCCTTCTCCTCCGCCTCCTCCTTCTCCTCCTCCTCCTCCTCCTCCTCCTTGACCGTATCCATATTTGCGCGCCCTCGCAGTCTGGATTCCGGGCGCGATGCCACGGATGCGAGATCCAATGGAACGAAGACCGAAGAACGACACAGACAGAAATTTTCGGAGCTCCGTGCGGATATGTCGGACCGGCGCTGGCCCCCCCGCTGGCTGCGCCTCCGGCGCCGCTCCTGGCCCGCTCCGCGCGCCAGGGAGGGGGGTCCAGCGTCCATGGAAGCCGCGCGACCCTCCGAAAGCTATGCTTATGCCGTTCTTCTGTTCTTCTAGATGCTCGACCCCATGGATGCGTTCCGCGCGGGGCATCCGCGCGGAGCCGCTCCGTGTCCGTGGCGCCTGCGGCTGAGGGGGCCAGACCTCGAGCCCGAGCCCGTGGGTGTGGAAGCCGTCTCCCGCCCCTCGGGGAAGGTGAAGGCCGACGGCGACCGGATGAACCCTCCGGACTGGTACGAGCGCGACATGTGGCTGAACGCCGACGGCGACCTCGTCTACTTCAGCAAGAGGGACGGCCGCAAGCTGATTTACTACACCGCCGACGACGTGCACAGCGCCCAGATCTTCCGCCTGTCGAGGGAGCAGGTCGGGGGTACGCCAAGCGTGCTACTGGCACCCAGGGTGTCCCTGGCCCTTCGCTTAAGTCGGGCCTGTCCCTCCACTGGAGGAATGTTCAAAAATATTTTAAAAGATAGTCAGCGAAACATTTTTTGAGTTTTTTTTTTGGGGTGTGACTATTCTTGAATATTTTAGCGTCTTTTGGATTTTTCGTCCAAAAGTCCCCTGTAGGAGGGCATGCCCGTCCTAGCCCTTCGCCCCCCGTGGGGGGCCCGCTGGGCCTCGCGAGGGCTCCGATTGCAGCCCAGGCCCACTCGCGTTACGAAACAGTAGCGACGGAAGGTGCCATTTTTTTTATTCCTTGTTTTGCCGATCGGCGCGGGCCCTCGCACCCCCCCCCCCACCCCCCCATGGAGTAGATCTTGGCTGTCTTGGGCGCCCGTCTCGAGCAGGTGGAGCCTCCCCCCATGATGGACGCACGGTTCCAAACAGCCGCACGAAGCAGAGGTCTGGAGCCAGACCCCCCCCTTCCGCCCCCACTGCCGAATCGCCGACGGAGAAAACGCTCACCAGGTGTCTGGTCTCTTTCGGCTTCTGGGGTCCCTCGCTCGGCCCGGGGACCGTCCAGAAGCGACTCCGAGTACGACTATCCTGCGCTGGGAAAGCGGTCGGGCCCTCTTAGGGCGACGACATCTATGCATATCCACTGCTCCTGGCCAGGCCAATCCTGGGCCCAGGAGCGGTGTATACGCCCTCCTGGCCTGGCCAGGGAGGCATATATACAGCTCCTGGGCCCAGGATGGGCCTGGCCAGGAGCAGTGGATATGCATAGATCTCGTCGCCCTGCCTCTGGGAGCCAGCGCCGTGCACAAGAGCACGACGTCGCGGGCTTGGGCCTGGAGGCCGCCCTGGGCTTCCGGGGAAAGGCTGGGGGCCGTTGTGGACCAGTGCTCGGCATCGCCCAGGCAAACTTCTGTCTGGCGATCGCAAGCATGGATCAAGCGGGCGCGGATTAGCGACGGGTCCCGTTTCCATCGGGAATCGCGGATTTCCGCCGCCGAACGAGGCGGCACCAGCCGCATCGTGGGGAGGGCACCTCCCCCGATCCATGGATTTGGCGACCGCGCGCCACATCGATGGGTCGCTGATCCGTGTTTGCGCGCCCCCGATTCTATCGTGTCTGCGTCGGTCCCGCAGGGGCGGCACGCACGCGCCGAACTCTGATGTAGCATGCGCTCCGTGGCGGGCGCCTCCTCGCCGTACCGTTCGGGGAACGATCTGCGGATGTGCCAATGTACTGTTGTATTGCATGTTCGGGTCGGACGTTCGCCTCCAACAGAGGCACGTCCCACCAGCATCCAGAGGCCTTCGGCCCATCCCGCCACCGTGCCTCGGGCCCTCTTTGCCCGTCTTGGGACCTTCTTGGCTCTGCACAGTCAAGCGAGAGGCCGCGCCAATCCGCGCCAAGCCCCAGGAGATTCGGCAATCTGGGCTCCGGGCCCGTTGACGATTCCTCAGGAGTGAGGACTGAGGCTCAGAGGATTGGGCAACGGACCTGAGGACACGCCCACTCCGTGCCCAGTGGCACGGTGGTGGATGTTCGTCTGTTTCCAGAAGGCCACCCCGGAGGGAAGCGAGAAGGGGCCGGGCCTTCTCGGAAGGCTCGGAAGTCCCCCGGCCTTCCGAGAAGATTTCTCAGTCTCTTCCGAAGGCGCAGAAGACCTCTCCGAAGGCCGGAGGCCTTCTGAGAAGCCCCGCCGCCTTCCGAGAGGGCCTTCTCCTTCTCACCTCGCCCCCTCGCTCGCCGCCGAAGCATGTTCTCCTGCGTCCCCGGTGCCACCCCTGGCATCACCCGTGCAGGCATGCAGGCCCTGGGCCTTCCAGCTGCGGCTGCCAGCGCACGACGGCCTCGAGTTTGCGCCGGGCGAGTTCGCGGCCGCGTCCGAGGTGGCCCAGTTGCACGCAAGAGAGCGACCCCTCTCGCCACGGTCGACTGGACGTAAGAGTGATCCTTCGCCGGAGTGGCCTTTGGGTGCGGGCCCATTGGGGTCCCCCGATCGCCGAGCCCGATGCGACAGTAGCGTCTTGCGCGTTCGGGTTTGGTCACCCTGCGGCCCCCACCAGGCCGCGCACCAAAGGTCACTCTTGCCCAGGGTCGCTCTTGCGTGTAGCCGACATGGGGGAAACGGGTCCTGAGGGAAACGGGTCCTGAGATGTTTCGCCGTTTTCGGGCTCTTGGGGCTCTCCACGGGCACCAGGACTGTCAGACAATGATTCGGTTTGAAGAACTCGCCCGGAGAGAAATGCCCCAGGGTCCAGGACCCGTTTCCCTCAGGACCCTGGCCAGGGTGACTTGTGGTGCACGCAAGAGAGTGACCCTTCGTCGGGTACCACGAAGGGCACTCCGAGTCTCTCAACAAGCGTCGGGGGGGCGTCACCCCCGCCGACAGCCCCGCCCACATCGGCCCCCGCCGCGGGCAGCCACCGCGCGCCGAAGGCGCTCCGACCCCCGTCGCGGCGCGACGACGAGGCGAGGTTGACCCCCGTCGGGGGGGTACCCCCCCACGGGGCCTGGGGAGCCCGACGCTGTCCTCGTCGGGCCTGCAGGGTCAGGGCTCAGCTGCGCGCAGACGGGGGGTACGGGGGAGAGGAAGAGGCTTCAGAGAAGCCTTCCCCCCCTCCGCCCCACCCCCTTGTGCGCGCCGCCAGGCAAGAGAGTGACGCTTCGCCACGACGACTTTGGGTGCGCGGATCTCTCGGCGGCGCGCCCCGGGGGGAACGTGAGAGGGGCGGGCCTTCTCGGAAGGCTCGGAAGGCTTTCGGCCCTCTGAGAGGTTTTCTAAGCCTTCCCCGAAGGCACAGAACGCTTCTCAGAAGGGGCGAGGGCTTTTGAGAAGTCCCGCCGCCTTCTGAGAGTGCCTCCTCCTTCTCACTCCCCCCCCTCGCTCGCCGCCGACTTTTGGTGCGCGGGTCTCGTCAGGGCAGCGTCTGAGGAGAATAGGTTCGGGGGTGGATGCATCGACCCCCAGTCGCCCTACAGCCCGCCCCGCCCAGCACCTTGCGGATCCGCCACCAGGGGCCGATCGCCGATCTATCGGCGATGCATCGCCGATCCTGGGTCGATGTCCCCCCCGGGGCCGGTCCCACCCTGCCGTTGCCCCTCACCTTCTTGGGGGGGGGCGCGGAAGTCGCCAACCATGTGTTCGCACCGATCCTGGCCAGGGGCGATGCTGGGCCCAGGATCGGTGTCGACGCCCTCCTGCCCAAGCCAGGGTGGTGCTTGGCCAGGGTTCTAAAAGAACGAACGCCTTTAACATAAACTTTCGACGGTCCGCGCGGATTTCTTGGATCGGCGCCTGGGCCCCCCTGGCGGTGCCGCCTCCAGCGCCGCCCCTGGCGCGCTCTGCGCGCCAGGGAGGGGGGCCCAGCACGGATCCAGAACTCCGCGCGGACCTCCAAAAGTTTATGTTTTTGTAGTTTCTTCGTCCTCCAAGGGTCGGTGTGTGTGTGTGTGTGTGTGAGTGTGTGTGTGTGAGTGTGTGTGTGTGTGTGTGTGTCCCGATCGTCCCACCGACGGAGGCCTCAATTCGGTGAAGGCAAGGTACGCAGACGACGGAGCCGATGCCCACTGGACGCTGGTTGCTCACGTTGCAGGGGAAGAGGTCACGAGGAACAAATCTAAGGCCAACCTGCACGAGGCTCAGCGCTTGCTGGACATCGTCGAGACAATCGCGCCAGACCTCTTGAGGAACAGGCAGACATTGCTCGTCGTGGTGCCCTACGTCCTGCAGCTGGCGGTGATTTCAGCAGGTTCCCCATGTGCGGGCTCGGACATTCCAGTCAGGGACGCCCACAGGCCACTACAGCCTCGGAAAAAGAAGGGCAAGGAGGACACGGGGGTGGAGGAGATCTCAGCCAAATGAGCAACACGAAGGCGGCGACGGAAAAAGGAAGGAGGAGCGGGTACAGCCGCGCGATTGGAACAGTATAATTCTGGACAATTCGCGAGAAGGGCGGGACCTGCGTTTCAGAGGCCTGTACGAACGACTTCCCGAAGGATGCGGCCCATACGTCACGGTGGTATCGGTGGAAAAACCATGCAGGGGCAGGGGGCGGACCTCGTCATCGCCACAACGACCCGGTCCAACGACGACCGCGATCTTGGGTTCTTGAACGGTTCTCGCCGCATGAACGTCCTTGTTCCTCGGTCGCGGACAGGACTCATCATCATCACCAATCTGGACCACAGGCCAAACGTCGAGTTGGCGGAGCTCCCCGAGCATCTGGCCTACTACGCGAGGGCTGAGCTCACGGTGCGGTCAGCAGAACCAGTTGCGAACCAGGCAGGCAGACGCCGTCCAGGCTCGCAAGTTCGCGGGAGAATTCAGGATTGGCCTCCCCCTGGGCCCCGACACAAATCAGCTCCGCGAAACGCTTCGCCAAGCAGCCGACACGCTAGTCAACTGACCTGCGTTCTCTCTAGCCTTGGCATGCATCGCCAATGTCCATCCGTACCGGGACACGCGGAGCGACCTACAAGTGTCTGGCGACCACGACAGGATGGAATGGGCCAGCCATGGGGCACTCAGGAACGGGTGGTTCAACGACGCGGGCAACTGCAACTACGTGGTCGTCATGGCGGTAATCCAGCAGTTCCTGCTTGGCCATGCATTCGTTTAGGCGCGGACATCCTGCTCATCCCAGACGAGGTCATCGAGCACAAGCTTGCGCATGCAGGAGCTGGTGGGCGGGGTATCGCCCTCCGCGGCACCGGGAGGGATGTCCCCTGCTTTATCGATCCATTTGCCGCGGCATGCACGCGCCACAGGAACGTTGCACCCGTGGACTTGTCTCAGAAGATGGCAAACCTCGGCGCTGTAGCTCCTGTGGTTCTGGGGACTAACCCGTTCCTCAGGTTTTGCGACAAATTCGAATTGTCGGCGGAGGTCTCTGCGATCTTGTAGAGGGGCCCCGCAGCTCAGGACACGCGCGCCATGCGTGCACTTGCCCCAGCACATCCCAGGATCATTGCGGTGGGAGGTGTCGTTGACAGCACAGATGCTATGCGAATTCTTCAGATGGGCCATGCGGACGAGGCCGCGCTGGAAGTCAGCGCGCCTGCTCTGGGCGCGCTGACCGTCCACTGGCAGGAGGGCGTCAACCGCGTTGTCCTACCAGGACCAATCGTGCTTCCCGCCCTGTACCAGACCCCGCCGCCACCGCAGATCGAAAGCTGTGCGCCGCGTGTGCGCGACAGCTGTTTTGGCGACCCAGGTGTCTGGAACAGTGTCAGTCGCCAAACTCCGACATCCACCTCCAGGCGCCGAAAATCCACGCAGTTCGTTCGATATCTTGTCTGCAGGTTCGCGTGGACATTCACGGCCACTCTTTGACTTGACTGTTTGGAAGGCCAGTTCGGCGCGACGACGGATGGTGCCGACTTCGGTGGCTCGACACAGCCAAAGATGAATTCGCAAGGCTACAGGGCAATGGGTGGATGCGTGCATGGCGTGGGGCCAAGATTAAGGCGCGTACTTCGACCATTCCAGAAGGGGGCCTAGCGGGCAGTGATGTGAACCAAGGGGGCGCCGCGCCCTTGCAAACGCGTCTGGCGTTCATGCCCATCGCGGCCCACGCTTCCACCAGTGTGATTTTTAACTTAGATGTTCTTCATCCAGTTGATTGTTGGCGGCATTCTATGGGCGCGTGGGAACTACTTGCGGACTCGGAGAATCTGGTTACGAAGACCGTGGGGGCCGACCGGCTGACTTATCCACTTGATGAGGTGCAATTGGTTTCGCTGTGGATCTGTGGTCGTGGCCCAGATGCAACGCGCTTCGGCGACCACTTCTCGCCGCCCTGGGATCCGCTCGCGGGAGCCCCACCGAGCCCCGCGGCTACGCGCGGGAAAATGTGGACAGGGGGGCCGCACCCCATCCCCACGACGCCCCAGCAGGCTGGGCCCAGGAAGAGTGGGGCAGATGGCTCATGGATCAGTTGCAGACACGGGACCATCTGGCAGGCTCAGAATACAAGAATGGGCTCGACGACATTCTTGAGAAGTACCATCGGGAACTTCCCGCGCCCATGGTTGCGGCGGTGTGCGAGGCCGCGAGGTTCATCGTGGTCGACGTCCATCAGCTACGTCAGGGTAACCCTGTCGACATTCTTCGTCCAGAACTACCAGAATATATGAAGATTGAAGACGAGTTCGAAGACGTAGGAATCCCTGAGGACGACGGCGCCAGCATTGACTTCGACGGAGATGACGCGGGCGGCAACGAGGACCCGCATGACCGAACGCAGAGTGGCCACGGGGGCAGCATCACGGCTCACCAGACCAGCGGTCGACGGGGAGATCATAGTTCTGATCTGGAAGCAGACGCTCGAGGACGGCATCGACAGGTGGGCTTTGCCAGCCGCCCCGGTCGGCTGCGAGGACTTTTCAAAGAACGACGGAGCAGGTTGGCTAGTGGGGATCAGGCATCATCTGGCCAATCACGTCTCTGCCGCCGATCCTGCAGATTGGGGCGTCTTCGACGGGCTTGCGCGCCGGGTCGATGTGGGCGGCCGCGAATCTCCGGCGCAGTGGGTCGACGCTTGGACCTCGACCCGCGGCGCGGTCGTTTCGCCCAGAATGCGAATTTAATCTTACCCCTCACCTATGATGCAAAGGAGGGCGCTTTGAGGCGCTCCGTCGCGCCAGAGGCACTGTCTCGGTCGCCCGCGGTCAGCTTGACGTTTTGTTTGTCTTTCTGCTTCGAGCGCGCGTTTTTCTTCGCGCCAGTTGCACTTGCATGATCAGTCGTGTTCGTTGCTTGCCTGGCGGCGGTGCGTGTCTCGCCTGTGCCTGTCTCGCGCCGCGGCTTGCTCGCTGGTCTGACAGCTCCACAGTGTTCTCCTTGCGACTGGCTGATTAGTATCAGACTGCTGCCTGCGCTTCAACTCCTGGCGTCGAGCTACGCTCCGCGGCATGCTTGGCAGCTGCACTTTTGCTTTGCAGTGCTCATCTTTACCGCCACCTCCAATCTGCATGGCCTTGGCTGGATTCTTTCATCACGGTGAGTTCGATTAACTTCGTTCGCAATTGGCACCTCCACCTGCCGACCGCGCCTGAGGTTCTCCTGCGCCGCCCACTGAACAGAGTGTGTGTGTATATGTGTGTGCGTGTGTGTTTACTGGCACCACCCACGCATACTTACATCATATCCTTATATCATACGTGAGTCGGCCACGGAAGGGCGACGCGCGCGACAGTTCTTATGGTGGAAGATCCGTGGTGGGCGCTCTCTGGCCATCCCGATCGCGAAACGATCTGCTGCAAGACTTGATGCTGTAGGTTCGTGTCGGACGTGCTTCTCCAACAGATGCGCGCGGTTTTGTGTGTCCTTATGCGCCCCAAGGGTCGGAGTATAGCTTTGCGTCCTCTTACGGAAGGCCAATCCCAGCCCGCACGAGCAACGACCGGCAGGGCCGCACACCAGAACGCAGGCCTCATGTCCAAGGGGGGGACTGCACTCTCCTAGCGTGCGCGGCCTTTCCAAGAGGCGCAGCGCGAGTCGTGGATCCAGGAGTTCGTGCGTTTCGGCGCCGCCGTGCAGCAGGAGTACGTCGTCGTCGTCGTCGCCGCCGCCGCCGTCGCGGTGCCGTCATCGTCGTAGTCGTCGTCGTCGTCGTTGTTGTCGTCGCCGTTGTCGTCGCCGTTGTCGTCGTTGTCGTCGTCGTCGTCGTCGTCGTCGTCGTCGTCGTCGTCGTCTTCGTCGGCGTCGGCGTCGTCGTCGACGTCGTCGTCGTCGTCGCCGCCGTTGCGCTTCGACGCCGCGGGTGCCGCAGGACGGCGCCGCCCCCACCCTCCTGTGAGAGCCATGGGCAGGGCGCGGGCCATTCGCCCGCAGAGGGCGGCATCCTCGCGCGGAAGCGCAAGCGCGCGGATGACCGCCGCGGCGGCGGCGACAAACTCCAGAGCGCTGCGCGCGCCGAGGGGGGATGCGAGAATGGAGCGGCCGTGATCGGCCCTGTCCCTCGCTCCCCCCCTCCCCCCTCGCTCCCCCCCCTAGGATCACTTCACGCAGTTCGGCCCACGTTTGCAGAGAGTTCTTATGGACTCTTCGAGGATTCCTTCAGATTTCCGGCGGCCCCCCTGCCGTGATGTGATCGGGGGGACATTTTTTTCGCTGTTTCCTTCCCCGAACACGCCCGTCATCGCGAATAATGAGAAAACAGGCTCCAGGTCTCCTGAGAAGGCGGCGGGGCTTCGGAGAACTCCGGGACAACTTTTCGGAATGCCTCCAGAGGTGCCTTCTGACAAGGCCCACCCCCTCTGCCTTCTCCCTTGGGCGCGCCGCTGAGCTTCGGCTGCGCGTAAGGGTGCCTTTGCCGGACTGGCCTGTGGTGTGAGCCAAGAAGGGTTTCGACAGCATTGGCCGGCGCGTCTGGGTTGCTTGGACCTGCTCTTCCTATTGGCCCCCTGAAGCCGCGCACCAAAGGCCATTGTTGCCCGTGCGTGGTCACTCCTGCGTGAAGCCGACTGCTGCTGGTGGCGGCGGCGGAGGCCAAGGCACTCAGGCGGCTCGCCTCTCTCTGAACCCAGGCCTCCGACGCATTGAACGGAGAAGTGCAAACGGATTTCGCTCGAGACGACCCCTCAGACGCTGCAAGAGCGCCACCAGAGCCCCCCAGATGTTCCAACAAAGCACGCGCAATCAGATTTCCACAAAGTTGCCTTTGAGAGTTTCTGCCCTCCGTGGCCCCCCTGGCTCAAGCCCCCTTGGCGTAAGTCGGGCGTGTCCCTCTACAGGAGGAATATTCAAACATAGTCAACAAAAATAGTCGGGGGACGATGTTTTGGACCATCTCTGAATATTTTCGGGATATTTTTTTGGGGTCTTTTCATTTTTCGCCCAAAATCCGCCTGTATAGGAGGACATGCCCGACCTAATCTCTGAGAGTGCCTGCCCTCCGTGGCCCCCCTGGCTCCGGCCCCCTTGGCTCGAGCCACCGGCTCGACCCCCTCTTGTGCCCACGGGAGCCGCGGCGGCGCGCCGCGGGGCCGGAGGCGGCCTCCGCCTCTGGGTTCGCCTGGAGGGTGCTGGGACGGAGCCTCGCTCGGGGGAGAGGGGAGGAGGAGGAGGAGGAGGAGGAGGAGGAGGAGGAGGAGGGGGAGGAGGGGGAGGGGGAGGAGGAGGAGGAGGGGAGGGGGAGGGGGAGGAGGAGGAGGGAGGAGGAGGAGGAGGAGGAGGAGGAGGAGGAGGAGGAGGAGGAGGAGGAGGAGGAGGAGGAGGAGGAGGAGGAGGAGGGGGAGGAGGAGGAGGAGGAGGAGGAGGAGGAGGAGGAGAAGAGGAGCAGGAGGAGGAGGGGGAGGAGGAGGAGGCGGAGGCCATTTCGGCACACCCCTCTCACATTTCGTGCCCCCCATGAGGGGCTCTGCCGGCTGCCGGAGGCCCCACTGGCAGTGTTCGCCTGCGTCTCCCCCGCCCGCTTCGGCACACCCCTGACACGTGGCGTGGCCCCGTGGGGAGCTCTGCCGAAATTCCCAGTGACGGTCTTCGCATGTGTCCCCCCACGTTTCGGCACAGACCTCAGAAAAGTCTCGTGGCCCTAGAAGGGGGCTCCACCGACGACGATCTCCACAACTGCGTCACTCGCAATGGCATCTGGTTGGGTCCTTCACCAGGCGGTTTGTTCTGCTTTCCACCCCCCTCCCTCTGCCCGCCGGCCCATTCGCCAGTTTTGGTGCCCCTTTCTAGCCTCTCGCTGGTGCGGAGTTCGCCGCCTCGCCTCTGACGAAACATCGCTGTTGCTTTCCACGACGTCGACCACAGGAGGTCTCGACTCGCTCCCCGAGCGCCGGCTCTTCGTCCCGAGATTCCTGTTTGGACGGCCCCGCGGCCCGGCGAGGGCCGCGGGGGGTCGAACGAGGCAGGAGAGGCCTGCCGCCGCGATTGGTCTTCGTGGCGCGCGGGGGCTCCGGGTCGGACGGGGCCAGGACTGAGTCGGGCCTGTCCACCCACAGGAGGAGCGTTCAGGAATGGTCAACAGATAGGCAACAGACAGTCAGGGGGCGATTTTTTTTTGGACTACTTTCGAACATTTCGGGGCATCTTTCGATTTTTGCGAAGGCCTTACGGCCGGTGCCGCCGACCCTGGAGGGCGACGCATGCGTTCTCTAATGTGGCGGGGGGGGCCTCTTGGGGGTATCTTTGGGTCTCGTGTGGGGGGGGGGGTCGTGTTGGGGCCGTTGTTGGCAATCGTGAGGCTTTCTCGGGAGCGTCTTTGGCCGACGACGACGACGTTGACGGCGGTGGCGATCTGGAGCTATTCTCAAGGGTCTCTCGGGGACTCTGGGGCTCTCTCGGGGACTCTCGGGGCCGTCTTGGGCCAGTTTGGGGTTTTCTCGTGGGTCTTTTCGACCGTATTGGGGGGGGGTCTTGGGAGCCTTTGGGGTTGCTTTGGAGTGTTCTTGGGCTCGGCACTCCGGGGGCAGCTACCTTGCCCCGCGCTTTTCAGTAGCTACGTTGCGGTTGAAGGGTGGTGGGTCTCGTGGTGGCCTCTTGGGGGCATCTTGGGGTTTCCTGGGAGCTCTGTCGCCGAGGGCTCGTCGGGCCCCCCGTCTGGGCACCCTGTTGGAGCCGTTTGGGGAGCCTCTAGGGCCATCTTGGAGGCATCTTGGGCGGTCTTGAGGCTCTCTTGGGTCATTTTGGGGCTCTCTTGAGGCCTCTTGGGCTATCTTGGGGCAATCTTGGGGGCATCTGGGGCCGTCTTGGAGCGTCGGCAAGTTGAAACGGCGAGAACGCCAAAATCTGTCAAACACTTTGAGGAAATCATTGAGTTTTCCCTCTTCGTGCCCTCTTGGGAGTGCTCTTGGAGACTTCTTGGAGCGTGTTGTCAATCTCTTGGGCCGTCTGGAGGCTACTTTGGCGTCTTCGACCGATGGTTCGGCGATTCGGGGCCCTCTGGAGCCGTCTTGGAAGCCTCTTGGGGCACTCTTGGCCAGTCTGGGGGCTTTTCTAGGTCCCGGGACATCCCGGGGGGGATGCGTATCTGCCCCCCCCCTTCCCCTCCCCGGGACCCCCCCCGGGACCCCCCCCCCCCCCGGCGGGGAAGGGATCAAAGGGAAGGGGCTTCCCTTCGACTCAGCTACGACGTTGCTCAATTTCGCTTTGCCTTCGACTCAGCTACGACGTTGCTCGATTTCGCTTTGGTTTCGCTTTGGCTGGCGCGCCTGAGGGGAGGGCGACGACGACGACGACGACGACGACGAACGGAAGAGCATCGACGACGACGACGACGACGACGACGACGACGACGACGACGACGACGACGACGACGACGACGACGACGACGACGACGACGACGACGACGACGACGATTATTTTCCATTTTTCGTTCAGGATCCGCCTGCAGGGGGACACGCCCGACCTGAGGCTAGGACGAGGATAACAGAGCGCTCCGGAACGCTTTCAGAGCGTTCCGGACCGCTCTGAGAAGGCCGCAGCGCCGGGTACCTCCTCCTGAGCTGTCGGATCTCAGAGGTTCTCGGTTTGTGTAAGAGTCTTGCGCGATTCCGCCGACCCTCATAAGAGTCCACAGTTGAGGCATCGTGGGCTTTTTGGGCACTATCTGGGGACTCTAGTGGGCGTCTTGGGAACTGCTTGGGGGCTTGGTTGAGCCTCTTGGAGGCAGTTTTGAAGCGTCTCGGGGGCCGCTCAGTGGCTTTTTTGGGGGGCATCATGGGGGCCTCTGGGGGCGTATTGGGGGGCTTAGAGATTCTCGATGTATCCTCACCCGAATTTATCCTCGTCCTGGCTTCGGCCCCAGACCCCCGACGTCATGATTTTCTCAAGACGCGACCCCCAGAGGTCCAGACCCATTCCCCGGGACCAGTCTCTCGTCCTGAGCCGTTTCTTGACGGCCCCGAGGCCTGGCAAGGGGCCCCCAGGGGCCGAACTTGCGCAACACCTCCCGCCGCGAGATCTTTTTTTGCTTTCCTGACTCGAGAGGGTCTGGGTCCTCGCCCTGGCTTCGTCTTGCGGGGCGACCGCGCGCGCGCCCGCGCGCCTCGCAGGCGCTCGGCCGGGCCCGGGGCGGGGCGCGGCGCCCGGGGCGCGCTCTCGCGGCCGGGCTCGGCGAGCGAGGCCTCGCCGCCCTCGCGGCGATGGCGGCCCGGCCGGCGGAGGCTGGGGCCCACCTCGCCCGCGGAGCCGCGGCCGCGGCCGCGGCGGCGGCCGCGGCCCGCGGGGGTGAAGTCGGGCATGTCCCTTCTAGAGGGGGAGTGCTCAAGAATAGTAGGGACTTGCTCTGGGGACGATCTTTCTGCCATTTTTGGACTGTTTTGGTGAGCCTTTTTTTTGAGGGGGGGGGGGTATGTCTGGTTTTTGCAGAAAAGTAGTCAAGAAAGAGTCTGGGGACGAGGTTTCGTCCAGTCAGGACCCTTTTTTTGAATATATTTTTTTTGTCAATGCGTAAGTCTTCTGCCAAGGTCCGCCTGTAGGGGGGCATGCCCGACCTGACGCCAGGACGCACCGCGGGCGCCGCTGCCTGCCCCCTTGGAGGCGTTCCAGACCCAGACCTGGTCGCGTCGTACAGCTAACAAACACTGCAACGGGAGGCTTTAGGCCGTTTTCGGCCTTTGGGGCCGTTTTCGGCCTTTGGGGTCCCCGTTTTCGGCCTTTGGGGTCCCTCGTTTTCGGCTTGGGACCGTCCGAAAACGGCTCAGGATGAGAAACCAGCCCTGCGGAAAGGGTGGGGGCTCCCGGGACCGCGCATCGAAAAAGTCACGACGTCGCGTGCATGTGGTGCGGGCCCACCGGGGTCCCCCGATCGCCGAACGCCAGGCGGCAGTGGCGTCTTGCGCGCCTGTGTTTGCCCCCCCCCCCCCCCCCCCGCGGCCCCACAAGAGCCGCGCACCGGAGGTCACTCTGACCCAGGGCCAGTCTTGCGTGTAGCCGACGGCTTGAGGCGTTCCAGAGAGGGCCTCGCCTTCAAAGATCGAAGGAGTTGTCATCTCTTCCTCGGCGGAAGGCGGCGGAAGGGCGGCGGAAGCCCGCGGAAGTGAAACGAGGCCGCCTCCGCCTGCGGAAACCGGTGGAAGGCCGGCGGAATCGGAAGGCGGCGGGAGCAAAATATGCTCCCCCAAGAGGTGACAACATTTTTGGGTTCAGGGTTTCTGGAACCCACCGCCACTTGGATCACCGCGGGGGGTGCTAAAATCAGGCTAGATGTAGACCACCTTGGCATCTATCTGTAACCCTCTATTCCCTTAGCACCCCCCGCGGTGATCCAAGTACGATGCGATTCGATCCTGGCGGAGGGACGACGGAAAGACGACGGAGGGTCTCTGGCCGTTTTCAGCCTCGCGGGGCCCTCGCCGGGCCTCGGGGCCGTCAGAAGACGACTCGGGATGAAGAGCTGGCCCTGCTGGGATGACCGCGGGGGTTGCTAAGTGGATAAGAGGTTGGGACGCTACGGTGGGTTGTATCTTGCCAAACCGTAATAATAGGGGGATCACAAGTGCCCTCAGTGGCTTGTGTGGCTTCGATAACTCCGCTAAGGGGGCGGAACCCTCCGAACTTTGACGTCACTGCTAACTCACTTATAGGCTGCTTGGCCGCATTGTATATGTATACACATGATTTATTTAGATAAAGAAGACTGGATTGGCGCTTCGCGCCTTGGACCTTGGCCCTTCAGGATCGGCGCGCAGGCGGCAGGCGGGGCGCGGGAGAGAGAGAGAGAGAGAGGGAGAGAGAGTTAGAGAGAGCGAAAGAAAGAGAGAGCACCCAAAAGGACGAAGGCTCCTTCTTGCCGCAAGCCCCATCGTGGTCACGAATCTGTTACATATCACCTGTCCCTCGTGTTTCTATTTCTTTTTTTGTCGTATGCGAACGCGTCCCTGTTACCATTTTCAGATGTTATTGCGTGGCCTCCTCCGTGGAGGGCTTTCCGGGTATCTCGCGAGAACTTTTTGGAGCTTCTGGTGGTCTTTGAGTGCCTGTTGGGTTCTGCTGGAAGCTTTTGTGGGGAGAGAGCGCGATTCTTGATCCTTCAGCGCTTCCCTGGACGCAGTCCTGAGCCCGGCCTTCAATGTATGCTCTGCAAGGTGGGAAAGACCCAAGTCTCCGAATGCAATCACATAGACATGGTACGTTGCACGTGAAGATCGCAGTATCACCTTCCGGTTGAAGTTTCAGACAACACCACGTGTGGGAGAACCACGTCAAACATCATGCATACGTGAATTGTGCATGACAAGGATGCAAAGCCATTTGTGTGAAAGCAAATCCAGACACAGCCCCTTGTGAAGAATTGAGCTTATCGTATGTGTAGTGATCCAACTAATACGTCCGAATTCGCCGACCCCTTTTGGTCCCAGCTTCTGGAGCAGTCGTGAGCACAGGAGGGGGGAACACGAACGGAGTGGGAGGCAAGTCCCTGTCATTGGATTTTCTTAGAGGCCCTTCTGGACCGTCTTGGGGTCCTTTTGGACCGTTTTGGGGCCCTTGTGGGCTATCTCGGGGGGCTCTGGCCGTCGTGGGGCTCTGCTGGGGGCTTCTCGTGGCTGTCTTGGAGCTTTCTTGGGAGCCCCTTGGGGGCGGGCCGTTTCGGGGCTCTCTTTGGCCGTTTTGCCATCTTGGGCCGTCGTGGGGCTCTCTGGGGCTGTCTTGGGGCCCTCTTGGGGCTTTGTGTCGAAAGTGCGCTCTTGCAGGCAGGGTAGGCCCTCATATTGTACGCACCGAGTGGGCGAGGAGGGGGTGGATCGCAGCACGGCGGAGACGGCGGAGGTCAGTTATAGTTGAGGGAGCCCCCCACCCCCGGAGGGAACGGCGAGGAGGAGGAGGAGGAGGAGGAGGAGGAGGAGGAGGAGGAGGAGGAGGAGGAGGAGGAGGAGGGGAGGAGGAAGAGAAGAATGAGAAAGGGAAGGAGGAGGGGGAGGAGGGTCGCGAGGAGGAGGAGGAGGAGGAGGAGGAGGAGAGGAGGAGGAGGAGGAGGAGGAGGAGGAGGAGGAGGAGGAGGAGGAAAAGGAGGAGGAGGAGGCGGAGGAGGAGGAGGAGGATGAGGAGGAGGAGGAGGAGGAGGAGGAGGAGGAGGACGACGGTCGCCGCCGCAGACGAGCGCGCGCGCTTCGGCCATGGCCGACTGGCCGCCGACTGGCCGCCGCAGGGTCGCCGCATGGCCTCCGACTGGCCGCCGACTGGCAGCGGCGTCGCCGCCGACAGGCCACTGACTAGCCGTCGCCGCGTGGCCGCCGACTGGCCGCCGCGTGGCGGCCGCGTGGCTGCCGCGTGGCCGCCAGCTAGCAGCCGCGCGTGGCCGCCGTGCGCTCCCGGAGGCCGAGGGCCCCGACGACCCGCCGTGGAATGCCACGCCGCGGGCTGCGAGGTCGGGCGGGCCGCCGCCGCCGCCGCCGCCTCCGCCGCCGCCGCCGCCGTCGCCGCCGTCGTCTTCGTCGTCGTCGTCGTCGTCGTCGTCGCGTTGTCGTCGTCGTCGCGTTGTCGTTGTTGTCGTCGTTGTCGTCGTCGTCGTCGTCGTCGTCGTCGTCGTCGTCGGCGCTGCCCGCGCTGCCATGGTTGCCGGCCACGTCCTCATGGTGTTCGTTGTCGTGGTGGGCGTCGGCGTTGTGGTCGTGGTCGTGGTCGGCGTCGGCCTCGCGGTCGGCGTCGCGGTCGGCGTCGTCGAGGTCGTACATACTCTTCGGGCCCTTCTTGCAAGGCGGTCTGAAATGTCCTCCGGTTGAGCAAGAGCTTTGGCTGTGGGCCGCAGTAGGCGTCCCCTCGATGTGGGTGTCGCTCTGGATGCGCTCTGGAGCCCCCCTCGTGGGCCTCCGACTGGTCCCCGCCCTGGAGGCCCCTGCATGCCCGTGAGGCTTCCGGATGCCTCCGGGGAACCCCGGAGAATTTTAGGGGCTTTCGGGGACTTCAAGGGACCTCTGGAGAGCTCCGCAGAGGAGGACCCAGACATCCAACGTATTGAGCAGAAACGCGATACGGCAGTTTATCGCCGCCCTGGGGGCGTCGAAAGGGGGCGCGTTTAGGTATGATGGTACGGGGTCATGAAATCTCCCATATTTCATGGCTCCATGCCCTTGACCTCCACCTTTCGAGCCTTCCGCGCAGCAGTTGCCGCCGCGGCGCGGCCGCGGAGACCGCCGAGACCGCCGCTGCGGCCTCGACGGCGGCCTCGACCGTGGTCGCTTTGGCGGTCCCGAAGCCTCGAGCCCGGCCCTCGGTGGAGGGGCAGGTGCTGGCCAGGGCTCGCGGTCCTCCCATCGGAACCAGCGGTCGGCGCCGTGGTCGTGGCCGTCGTGGGTCCAGCGAAGTGGTCGCCCAGCGTCGTCATCGTAGTCGGCGGCGCCGCCGCCGCCACCGCCGCCGCCGCCGCCATCGTCGTCGTCGTCGTCGTCGTCGTCGTCGTCGCTGCTGCCGCCGCCGCCGTCGTCGGCGTCGAGGTGGTCGGCGCCGGCGTTCCCGGCGGCGCCAGGAGCCCGTGCGCCCCGCGCTTGGAGGTGGGCTCCGCGCGGACGTCCTCCTCGTCCCTGCGGGTATGCGGGCGGGACTGCCGTACACGCCGCCGCCCAAACCTGGCGGCGCCCACACTTGGACGGCGCGAGCTTCTTAAAAGGCGGGGGCCTCCTCAGAAGGCGGGGGCCTTCTTTGAAGGCGGGGGCCTCAGCAGAATGCAGCGGCCTTCTCAGAAGGCAGGAGGCGGACACTTTTTGGAATGCGGCGGAGCTTCGTAGACGGCAGGGGACTTCTCAGGACCTGGGAGCTTCTCAGAAGCCTTCCTAAAACTCTCCCGGGCCTTCTAAGAATCCCCGCCGCCTTCTTAGAAGCCCCCCCCTCGCGCCACCCCTTGGTGGGCGCCGCCGTCCAAGTACGTACACGAGTTTGTCGGCGACTCGTTGGAGTGATCTTCCCCCCGAGTGACTTTTGCCGGCCTTCTGGGGTCAACTCCAAGCACACAGACCGTCGGTGTCGCCGCGGACGTCGTCCGCTTGAGACAGAAAGTCGCCTGCTGCACAGTGGCAGTTGTCGGTTTTGGACAGCGTTTGCCATTGGGCGTCGCACCCCTTTTCTCCGTACCCACTTCGGGCGCGCCAACCCCCCCGCGCGACTTTTGGCGCACGGTTCTCGAGTTGGGGATGCCCGGCGGCAAATCATTGGAGCCTGGCTCACCCTCTTAATGCCGTCTTCAGCGTCGGCCAGCGTCGATGAGCGTCTGGAGTCGATGAGAGAGCGCTGGTTTCGCGTCAGTCAGCATCGATTCGCGTCGACGCCGCGTCGATGTAGCGTCGGCTTGGCGCCAAGCGGCGTCGCTTCGCAAGAGCCGACGAGATGGTGTGGTGTGGGAGGCTCCCACGAGAGTTGCCGCCGAAGGGATGGGGGGGTGGGCAGGCCCACGGCACGCAGGCCGCAGACCGTTGCCATCGCGCGTCGCGTGCGGCGATCGGTAGGCCGCGCACCGCAGTCGGGCATAGCCAGGACCCCAGGTAAGGGGACCCAGGTTGGTAGTGGGGCCCTGGAGCCCCTAAACTGGCCAGAACCACTGGTGTTTTTCGGGTGGTGGTGTAGCTGGTGTTTCTTCGGGTGACGGCAGCTCCGGTTAGTGGAACGGGGCGGGTGGGGGGCGTCCCCCGGTACGCATCACTAGACCAGGTCCCACGAAACCCAGTTCTGCCAACGACCGACACAGGGGGGGCACTCCCAGCCTGGGGGGTCGCTCCCGCGCTGCGCCCCCCTGGGCCGTGCCGCCACGCCCCGCGCGGAGAGCGCCGCGGCGGCCCCCTCGGGGCGTGCTGCCTTCTCGGGCACGGAGCAGCCCCTTGGGATCGAGGGGGGAGGATCAGGGGGGGACAAGAACACACACACACACACGAACACAAGCAATCATTCATCGTCGCCTCCCCAGAGAAAATTATCCCGGCAAAGCAACCTAACAGCGATGTGTAGGAGCATATCTGGAAGCATTCCCCTTAAGATTCAGATGAGAATCCAGTTGTAGAATTCTGCTGTTCTCGCAGTCGTAGTCGCATTCGCGATGACAGTCGCAGTGGCAACGGCAGTCGCAGTCACAGCCTCAGCCTCAGCCTGCCTCAGCCTCAGCCTCAGCCTGCCTCAGCCTCAGCCTGCCTCAGCCTCAGCCTCAGCCTGCCTGCTTCAGCCTCAGCATCAGTCTGCCTTCAGCCTCGGCCTCAGCCTCAGCCTGCCTCAGCCTCAGCCTGCATCAGCCACAGCCTCAGCCTCAGCCTGCCTCAGCATCAGCCTGCCTCAGCCTCAGCCTCAGCCTGCCTCAGCCTCAGCCTCAGCCTGCTTCAGCCTCAGCCTCAGTCTGCCTTCAGCCTCGGCCTCAGCCTCAGCCTGCCTCAGCCTCAGCCTGCATCAGCCTCAGCCTCAGCCTCAGCCTGCCTCAGCATCAGCCTGCCTCAGCCTCAGCCTCAGCCTGCCTCAGCCTCAGCCTCAGCCTGCTTCAGCCTCAGCCTCAGTCTGCCTTCAGCCTCGGCCTCAGCCTCAGCCTGCCTCAGCCTCAGCCTGCATCAGCCTCAGCCTCAGCCTCAGCCTGCCTCAGCATCAGCCTGCCTCAGCCTCAGCCTCAGCCTGCCTCAGCCTGCAGCCTCAGCCTGCTTCAGCCTCAGCCTCAGTCTGCCTTCAGCCTCGGCCTCAGCCTCAGCCTGCCTCAGCCTCAGCCTGCATCAGCCTCAGCCTCAGCCTCAGCCTGCCTCAGCATCAGCCTGCCTCAGCCTCAGCCTCAGCCTGCCTCAGCCTCAGCCTCAGCCTGCCTCAGCCTCAGCCTCAGCCTGCTTCAGCCTCAGCCTCAGTCTGCCTTCAGCCTCGGCCTCAGCCTCAGCCTGCCTCAGCCTCAGCCTGCATCAGCCTCAGCCTCAGCCTCAGCCTGCCTCAGCATCAGCCTGCCTCAGCCTCAGCCTCAGCCTGCCTCTGCCTCAGCCTCAGCCTGCTTCAGCCTCAGCCTCAGTCTGCCTTCAGCCTCGCCCTCAGCCTCAGCCTGCCTCAGCCTCAGCCTGCATCAGCCTCAGCCTCAGCCTCAGCCTGCCTCAGCATCAGCCTGCCTCAGCCTCAGCCTCAGCCTGCCTCAGCCTCAGCCTCAGCCTGCTTCAGCCTCAGCCTCAGTCTGCCTTCAGCCTCGGCCTCAGCCTCAGCCTGCCTCAGCCTCAGCCTGCATCAGCCTCAGCCTCAGCCTCAGCCTGCCTCAGCATCAGCCTGCCTCAGCCTCAGCCTCAGCCTGCCTCAGCCTCAGCCTCAGCCTGCTTCAGCCTCAGTCTCAGCTGCCTTCAGCCTCGGCCTCAGCCTCAGCCTGCCTCAGCCTCAGCCTGCATCAGCCTCAGCCTCAGCCTCAGCCTGCCTCAGCATCAGCCTGCCTCAGCCTCAGCCTCAGCCTGCCTCAGCCTCAGCCTCAGCCTGCTTCAGCCTCAGCCTCAGTCTGCCTTCAGCCTCGGCCTCAGCCTCAGCCTGCCTCAGCCTCAGCCTGCATCAGCCTCAGCCTCAGCCTCAGCCTGCCTCAGCATCAGCTTGCCTCAGCCTCAGCCTCAGCCTGCCTCAGCCTCAGCCTCGGCCTGCTTCAGCCTCAGCCTGAGTCTGCCTTCAGCCTCGGCCTCAGCCTCAGCCTGCCTCAGCCACAGCCTTCCTCAGCCTCAGCATCAGCCTGCCTCAGCATTCAAAATGTGGCCCGGGAATGGAGTTCTGGGAACTCGAAGAACACGAAGTGGCCTATAGTTGGCTCTGGGCATTCAAAATCACACCCAGGAATGGAGTTCTGGGAACTCGAAGACCACGAAGTGGCCTACAGTTGGCTCCGGGCATTCAACATGTGGCCCGGGAATGGAGTTCTGGGAACTCGAAGAGTACGAAGTGGCCTACAGTTGGCTCTGGGCATTCAAAATGTGGCCCAGGAATGGAGTTCTGGGAACTCGAAGACCACGAAATGGTCTACAGTTGGCTCTGGGCATTCAGATGCCTCAGCTTCAGCATTCTAAATGTGGCCCAGGAATGGAGTTCTGGGAACTCGAAGAACAAGAAGTGGCCTACAGTTGGCTCCGGGCATTCAAAATCATGCCCAGGAATGGAGTTCTGGGAACTCGAAGACCACGAAGTGGCCTACAGTTTGCTCCGGGCATTCAAAATGTGGCCCGGGAATGGAGTTCTGGGAACTCGAAGAGCACGAAGTGGCCTACAGTTGGCTCCGGGCATTCAAAACGTGGCCCGGGAATGGAGTTCTGGGAACTCGGAAACCACGAAGTGGCCTACAGTTGGCTCGGGGCATTCAGAATGTGTCCCGGGAATGGAGTTCTGGGACCTCGAAGACCACGAAGTGTGTAACTGTTTGCTTAAAACAAATTCCGCGGATCCCTGTCCTGATGCCGCCCAGACCCCCCTGGGGAGTAATGATGCTCTCTTTTGAATTTATTAGAAACCTATCAGTCTTCGCTGTTAGGTAATATAGGGAAATGTGGGAAAAGTGGGCGGGGGGAGGACTAAAACCCAGAAGATACGTGGGAAAATGCAGGGAATCCCGGGAATGCAGCCCTTTGGATCGAGGGGGAGGATCGGGGGGGGACAAGAACACACAAGCACAAGCAATAATTCATCGTCGGCTCCCCGGAGAAAATATGGGGAAATGTGGGAAAAGCGGGGGGGGGAGGACGAAAACCTGCAAGATGAGGGGAAATACTTGGAATCCTGGGATTTGTGCGTGTGTGTGTGTGTGTGTGTGTGTGTGTGTGTGCGTGTGTGCGTGTGTGTGTGTGTGTGTGTGTGTGTGTGTGTGTGTGTGTGTCTCTGGGCGCCTTTGAAGGGGCGAGGTTCCAGGCTCGGGGGACCGAGGTCGTCCCTGGGCCGAGGAGATCGAAGCGATCGAGGTTAATCCATGGCTCGAGAGCTCGAGGGACAGGGGCAGGAGGAGAAGTAGGAGTAGTAGTAGTAGTAGTAGTAGTAGTAGTAGTAGTAGTAGTAGTAGTAGTAGTAGTAGTAGTAGTAGTAGTAGTAGTAGTAGTAGTAGTAGTATAGTAGTAGTAGTAGTAGTAGTAATAGTAGTAGTAGGAAGGAGGAGGAGGAGAGAGGAGGAGGAGGAGGGGAGGAGGAAGGAGGAGGAGGCGAAGGAGGAGGAGGAGGAGGGAGACGGTTCTGGGCCCCTTGGGGCCTGGAGGGTTTCTCCGAAGGGCTTAGGCGACCATCCTCCTCCTCCCTCCTACCTCCTCCTCCTCTCCTCCTCCCTCCTCCCTCTACAATTACTCAATATGAAAATACTCTCCCTCTTCCCCTGATGGCGTCCGGGTGATGGCCGCGCACCCTCCGCGTACTGTTTTTTTACACACAGGATTCCCGGGAAATCCCGGGAAACGACTCTCGCTGAGGCGCCGGCGTCATTTTTTCCCAAAATGCTGCTCTCGTTGAGGCGCTGGCCTCATTTCTGCTCCCGAATCGTTCCGAATCGTGCTCCCGCTGCAGCGTGGGCCTCATTTTCGGATCGGTGTTTGGCCTCCGTCGTTCAGGATGGCGTTCTCGCCCCAGCGCGGGCCTTTTTCT